CGAGTCCAGTAGCACCTTAGAGCACCTTAGAGACCAACCAGAGTTCTAGGGTATAAGCTTTCAAGAGTCATGGCTCCAGTTTGGTGTAGTGGTTAAGTGCACGGACTCTAATCGGGGAGAACCGGGTTTGATTCCCCACTCCTCCACTTGCACCTGGCTGATGTGACCTTGGGTCAGTCACAAGCTCTGGCACAGCTGTCCTTGAAAAAGAGCAGTTTGTGTCAGAGTTCTCTCAGCCCCACCCACCTCACAGGGTGTCGGTTGTGGGGAGGGGAAGGAAAAGGAGTTTGTAAGCCGCTCTGAGACACCTTTGGGTAGTGAAGGGCGGGGTATAAACCCAATCTCTTCTTCTTCTTCATTAGACACAACTAAAAATGGAGACCTCGGAGCCAATGCTCCCTCTAAGCTGTGGAGTCTTGTGAGCAAAAATTCTACTTTGTGAGCTACTGGCATTAAAGTTGTGAGCAAGTGATTTGGCTTCTGCATAAGTTAGTTTGCTCTGGAGCCATCCTTCCTGAGCTGAGACAAAAATGTGTGAACTGGAGGCTAAAAAACTGTGAGCTAGCTCACACTAACTCAGCTTAGAGGGAACACTGCAGTCGGAGTCCTTTTGTTCTAATCAGAAGCTGGAAGGGATGTTGTAAAGAATGCTGGAGGGCATTTAAATCCTGGAAGAGTCGTAGAAGGAAAGGGTTAAACACTCTTGTCTCCAGCAACCCTTCCCCAGTCTTCAGAGCACATGTCCGCATCGGCTAATTTGTTTATTTTTAATGGCATTGAGAATTTTGTAGCCTTTGGGTAGTATCTTCTGTTCATGGTCCCTTGAAAACCAGCCCCATTGGAAGAAAGAATGGCAAGTGATGGCTGCACAGGGCACTGATGGCTGCATTGGGCACTGAAGTTCATCGCCTTCCTAATTTCTCACTCTCCTAGGACAAGAGGCGAAAGTACAGCATGCTGTATTCCCAAGAGTCAGGCAGCTCCGTTTTTTTCCACTCGCAAGAGGAAGGAAGCACTACAGACCACTGGAACTCTCCCAAGGATTCGGAAAGCGGGTTCCCATCAGACAGGACCTCGGGACTCCTCAGGATTGGTGGAGACCTCGGGAGCGAGTCTGACCTTGACTCTGGTCTGTTCCCCCCCCTTTCCACGCTTTAAGGGGCGCGTTCGCATGTCAAGTGCTGGGGTAACAAAAGCAGGATAACCTTGTTTACTTCATCCTGAACAAAGTCATGCCCTGACCTGAATAGCCCAGGATAGCGCAGTCTCATTCAATCTTGGAGGCTAAGCAGGGTCGGCCCTGGTTAGTACTAGGGTAGGAGACCCCCAAGGAAGTCCAGGGTCACTACACAGAGTCAGGCAGTGGTGAACCACCTCTGAACATCTCTTGCCTTGAAAACCCCATGGGGTTGCCATATGTCAGCTATGACTTGACAGGAAGAACAAACAAACAAGCAAAAGTCAGCAATGGCTTCCATCCAGATCTATGGAGCAGAGCGATATCCAGGGCACAGTCGAGTGCTGGGTAAAAAGAATACTGCTCTAGATGCTGAATGAACGAATGAAGGAGGCAGGAAAAAATGGCTGAATCTGCATCCGACTTCTGGATGGGAACAGCTGCAATATATACATGCATTGTGCCATTTTAGCAAACTGCTCCAAAATCCCCAGCTCCCTGTCTCTGTTTGCCCACATTCAAACTGAAAAGCTGCTTTAAAAAAAAAAAAAACAAAAACACCAAAAAAACCCCATTCCCTGCCAGAACTTTGATCTTGGGTTCTTCCCATATTCTCCATTAAGGAAATGCCCACATTCAAACTGCAAAGCTGCTTAAAAAAAAAAAATCCCTGTCTTGTGCGAGAACTTTGATCTTGGGCTCTACCCATATACTCCATTAAGGAAACATCCCCAGCCACCAACTTTTGAGGAGCAAATAACAGCCCACCAACCTGGGCTATCAGCAAGCAAGCAAACTATAGCAAGCAGAGCAGTAACTCATGCAGAGATGCACTGCCTCTGACCAGTCTATACTGGAAGTGACTGAATGCTCCAGTTATATCCAGAATTCGCCTGCTCCTAGGCCAACTGGAGCCCTAATTACTTGAAGGGGAGACCACCAAGAAAATCCAGGGTTGCTACACAGAGGCGGACAATGAACGTCTCTTGAAACATGAGTCAGCTGTGATTTGACAGCACTTTCCACCACCAGGCCAATTGGAGGGAGGCAAAGGCAAACCAGCGAGTTAGGCAGAGATGCAACAGTCACCCTCCTCAGTGGGCGATTACTTTGGGATCAGAACATCCTCTGATCTGGAATTAATTCACCCCTCGTGACACACTTGCAGTTTGTGAATGGCACAGCAGCGTGCCCAGCACTGGTACATGAGATTGAAATCCAGTGTATTTCTGCTGGTGCAGGAATTACTGCTCTGGGGAAGCCATGACAGTTAACCGGGCCGGCATTCCACGATCATTTGGGTCTATAAAACAGACCATTTGTTTCCCAAAGGGACGGAACTTAAAACCTCATCCCGACGGAGGGCATACAGCACCAATCAAATCGCTGACCGTGAGCCGTCGCGGAAGATCCCCACCGCCAGCGATCCCAGCTCTGCCCTGATCAAGAACCCTCTCCGGAAAGCCCAGCTACAGGACCTCAGTCAGTTCAGCCCAGAACGGCAGCCCTGGCAGACAGAGTTTCAGGTACGCCTCTTGCTTTTTCAGTTAAAAAATACTTGTTTATTTAACTGTAAAAAGGTGCAGAAAAAGAAAATTAAACGAAAAACAGCCAGTGTTTTAAAAAACTATAAAAAATAGTTGAATTTTTTTAAAAAACAAGCATTTTAATTTTTTTTATCGAGTACATCTTAAGCTATTGACGGAAACTCACTGTGGTGTTTATTACAGAGTATCCTCCACAGTTTGGTGTAGTTGTTAGGAGCATGGACTCTAATCTGGGAGAACCAGGTTTGATTCCCCACTTCTCCACATGCAGCTGCTGGCGTGACCTGGAGTTCTCTCAGAGCTGTTCTCTCAGGGGTAGTTCTCAAAAGAGCTGCAAAAACAGCCAGTGTTTAAAAAAACTATAAAAATTGGTTGAATTTTTTAAAAAAACAAGCATTTTTTTTTTAATCGAGTACATCTTAAGCAATTGATGGAAACTCATTGTGGTGTTTATTACGGAGTATCCTCCACAGTTTGGTGTAGTTGTTAGGAGCACAGACTCTAATCTGGGAGAACCAGGTTTGATTCCCCACTCCTCCACATATAGCTGCTGGTGTGACCTTGGGTCAGTCCCAAGTTCTCTCAGAACTGTTTTCTCGAGGGCAGTTCTCGAAAGCGCTTTCTCAGCCCCGCCTACCTCACGGGGTATCTGTTGTGGGGAGGGGAAAGGAAAAGAGATTGTAAGTCGCTCTGAGATTCCTTCGGGTAGTGAAGGGCGGGGTATAAATCCAATCTCCTCTTCTTCTGCAATAATCAAGATGACCAAAGCCGTAACATTTAGAATAGAAGATTTCTATCATGCTTGCAACACCCAGGTGCTTTTTATCACTCTGGTTGTGGCTCTTGGTCAGGAGCAGACGAGAAAGCCAAGTGGAGCAGCCCCTCCTGTGCCCCAAGCCAGCACTGCAGGGCTGTTCAGTGGGGCTGGTAATGGGCATTAGCTCATCCAACGCATCACTCCCCCAACTGGAAGCCCTGCAGGAGGAGACAGTTGGTGAGTTGACACAAACCGCCATGGGGTCCAGGCTAGGTTGTCAACCTCCAGGCAGCGCCTGGAGATCTCCCACGATTACAATCGATCTCCCGATGATCAAGATCAGGTCCTCTGGAGAAAATGGCTGCATTGTACCCTGCCGAGTCCCCTCCCCTCCCCAAACCCCGCCTTCTCCAGGCTCCACCCCCCAAATCTCCAGGTATTTCTGAACCCAGCCCTGACCTGTATAGCTCGCAGGAGCCTGATCTCACCAGGTCCCGGGAGCTAAGCAGGGGCAGCCCTGGCTAGTGTTTGGATGAACCTAAAGGAAAATCGTGTTTGTCCACATTTGTCTAGTGTTTGGACGAGGCAGGCGGTGGCAAACCACTTCTGAACGGTCCCTTGCCTTGAAATCCCTACAGGGTCACCATCAGTCAGCTGTGACTTGACGGCGGGGGGGGATTCGAACCCAGAGCTGGCTACCCTGGCCCTCGGACACGGTCGCGGGGACTTAGCTCTGCCTGCTCCTGATCTCCAGCCGAGCCCTCTCAGGCAGCAGCCCACCAGGAAATCTAAATTGCCAATCCGCCCTTCTCTTGGTTGACTGAGCTGCAGTCTGCCCGTAGAGAAAGCCCCCCACTCCCAAATGCAGTCAACTGCCCTGCATCTGAGGCCCACCCACGTCCCCTTGATCAGGTGCCTCTCACCCACGGTAAGCCCCTTTCCCTTACAGTCGCTGCTTCCATCGGTCTCAGCTGTCCGAGTTTCTATGGTAACCCGAAAGCAGGTATCCGAAGCCTTTTGCGGCTCTTGCAAAGACCTTCAGATCACAACAACTGTGGCCGTAGAGAGTTTGAGGAGGGAAGGATACAAGAGATGAGAAGGGGAGGGAAGGCCACATATGTGCGTGTCTGTGAAAGGAGACATTTGACAAGGCAAGATGGAAAGGGAGATGCGCAAGGCGGATTTGTTCCTTTGGACACTGCAGAATCGCTGCTAAAGGGAGATTATCATTATCATCTGTCTGCATGCACATTTCCCATGCTGTGTGTTTATTTAGAGCTGTTGCCCAGGGAAAGAAAATATAGGGGGCTGATGGGGCGGACTGTAATCGATGAAATTGGCATGCATTTGTTCATGACTATAAATGATCAAATACTTCTCTGTCTGAATCTGGGAAATGAAAGATAATAGAGTTAAAGCTGTGCTTCCCTGCATAGTCAGAGAGTATAAACTCCCAATTCCCCCTGTGGTTGCAGAGGTCATTTGGTGTGTTTTTGCTACTTTCCGCTTGGTTCCTGTTCATCCAAATCAAGGGGTTTGACTTGTATCGTCCTTGCTCAAAGTCCGGTGGGTTGCTTCCACGGGGACAGTGCTCATCTCCGTTTCCAAGCCGAAGAGCCAGTGCTGTCTGAAGACTTTTTCCGTGGTCGTGTGGCCGGCATGAATAAACACCAAGGTGCACAGAACGCTGTTACCTTCCCACCGAAGCGGTACCTATTTATCTATTTGCAATTTCTTGCTTTCGAACTGCTAGGTTGGCAGGAGCTGGGGCTCACTCTGTCACATGGCACTCAGGTCTCGAATTGCCAAGCTACCGACCTTCTGGTCTGCAGCTCAGCATCTTAACCTCTGAGCCACCGCAGCTCCTCACATTACAGTCGTTGACTGCAAAAACCGCTGTGTCTTTCAACGATATCTTGCTTTCTACTGAGTAGGCTTGCCAACTCCAAGTTGGAAAATTCCTGGAGATTTGGGGGTGGACTTTGGGGAGGGGAGGGACTTCAGTAGGGCATAATGCCACAGACTCCCCCCTCCAAAGCCTCCATTTTCTCCAGGGGAACTGATCTCTGCAGCCTGGAGATGAGCTGTAATTCCAGGGGATCCCCAGGTCCCCCCCGAAGGGTGGCATTCCTATCTTCAGTAGGGCATAATGCTAGAGACTCCATCCTCCAAAGCAGCCATTTACTCCACGGTTACTGATCTCTGTAGCCTGGCAATCAGTTGTAATTCTGGGAGATCTCCAGGCCCTTCCTGGAGGTTGGCAAGCCCACCCAAGAAGGCTTCCAGTGATACCTCCCCGTGGGGCTCCTTAGTGAAATGACATTTTCAAAAAAGGTGGAAGGCATCAAAGTTTCTTCTCTTCATCTCCAAAAGGTTAGCGCATCAGAGTGGGCGGCTCATTCGGCTCTGGAGTCTTAGGAGAGCTGAAAATCTTTGATAAGACAGGATGGATATGGGGATGTGGGGGGCGGGCAGAGCGGATTTCAGAGAAAGGTGTTTTATTTCACAGGCTTCTTTGGGAAGACGGAGAGAGAAAGAGAAGTCAGTTTCCTCTTTTGCGTGTCTAGTGTAGGCTTTTAAAAATTACTTACAGATTTTATACTCACCTTTCTATTAACAATATCCAAGGCAGCTTGCAAGCTGACTTTATAACAAGATGCTGAAAAGCGGCAATGCCCCGCAAACTAAAACAGAAACCTAAAAGCAGCCATTCCAATAACTTAAAAACAGCAGTGGACTAAATGTCTCACATACAGATAAAACAGCATGGAGCAGCTACTACAATAATAGCACTCAGAGTGATAAGAGCCCTCCGTTAATCATTTAGACAGGAAATTGCTTGTATATAATAGAACTGGGATTAAATATGATGATCTTCACCAAAGTTTAGTTTGAAACCTGAACTTGCTAGCTGGGAGTGGGGAATGGTAATATAAAACTCCCACCTCACCCCACCAGCCTGCCTTATTTATTTGAATGTAATCTACTTTTATCCTGCCTTTTCTCCAAGGAATTCATGTATATGACTCTCCCTTCCTCAGGTTCGTCCTCACGACATACATGTAAGGTAGGTGAGGGAGAGAGAACGTCTAGCCAGTTTGGTGTAGTGGTTAAGTGCACAGACTCTAATCTAGGAGAACCAGGTTTGATTCCCCACTCCTCCACTTGCACCTGGCTGGATGACCTTGGGCAAGCTGTAGTTCTGATAAGAGCTGTTCTTGAAAAAGAGCAGTTCCTGTCAAGAGCTCTCTCAGCCCCACCTACCTCACAGGGTGTCTGTTGTGGGGAGGGGAAGGGAAAGGAGTTTGTAAGCCGCTCTGAGACACCTTTGGGTAGTGAAGGGCGGGGCATAAATCTAATCTCTTCTTCTTCTTCTTCTAGCCCAAGGTCACCCAGCATAGATCTGAAGTTGGGTCTCCCTCGGCCCAGTCATAGAGTTGGAAGGGGCCAGACAGGCCATCTTTTCCAACCCCCTGCTCAGTGCAGGATCAGCCTAAGGCATCCCTGACAAGTGTTTGTCCAGCCACTGCTTGAAGACTGCCAATGGGGGGGAGCTCACCACCTCTCTAGGCAGACAACTCCCCTTCAAGAGGGAATTAGATAAGCATATGGAGCAGAGGTCCATCAGTGGCTATTAGCCACAAGGTATAGATAGTTAAGACGCTGAGCTGCAGACCGGAAGGTCAGTAGCTCGGCAGTTCAAGACCCGAGTGCCGCATGACGGAGTGAGCTCCCTTCTCCGGTCCCACCTCCTGCCAGCCTAGCAGTTCGAAAGCAAGAAATTGCAAGTAGATAAATAGGTACCACTTCAGTGGGAAGGTAACAGCGTTCCGTGCACCTCGGCGTCTAGTCATGCTGGCCACATGACCACGGAAATGTCTCCGGACAGCGCTGGCTCTTCGGCTTGGAAACGGAGTTGAGCAACGCATCCCTAGAGTCAGATTCGACTGGCTTTCAAGCAAGGGAAACCTTTACCTTTACCTTTACTTATAGATAGGAACTCTCAGTCTGGGGCAAGTGATGCACTGTATTCTTGGTGCTTGGGGG